TATAAAAAAGAACTTATTAATTTCTGCAATTAATATACATGATTTTATGGTTTATTGAAAATAGAAACGATTCGAGGTGGATTAGACAACACTTTGCCCATGTTTGATAGTCAATACTTGATAAAAATAATATTTTGAACAGTAATTTTTAAAATAATGTGTAATTAAAAAAGTAGAAAAAATTTTAAATTTACGTGCAGAATACTTTATTAAAACAAGGATGAGCCGCATCCTTGACAGTCCCCAACTATCTTGTCCTGAGCCTTGATGAAGGAGGTAAATCGCAGGGTATGCCTTCAAGGGTATAGGGTGGAAGGCAGTTTATACACTTGCACTTACCCAATGGTCAAATCCATATTTCAGGATTCGAACCCTTGACGCGACAGCCGTAAGCAAAGTTGTAATTTTTCCACCTTCCCCTTTTACCACCTGAAGATGTGCTTGGGGGCGCGAATACTTTATTGTGTGAATGCGTGATTGAAAATGAATATATTTAAAAAATAATTTTTAAATAATGATCATCAAACAAGGACTTAAAAATTGTTTGAGAAATCATATATATAATTGATTGAAACTATAATAAAATATGTAGATAAAAAATAATTTGATAAATTATAAATCGTTCGTAAACATTGGCAGAACACAAGCTACGTTCGATTGAGTATTAAACCCTCATTTGATGATTTTTGAAAAATCCATGATTAAAAAATACGTAACAATTGAATTTATGAATAAAATATTTTATTATATATAAATGTGTGGTTAAAAATAGTATAAAAAGTAAAGAAATGTCTTTTAAAATAATTTTTTGTTGAGTCATAATCAAGTGATTTGACTAATTGTTTCTCTTCTTAGGAACCAACATGTGAGCTGTCCTGGATTAGCCGGATTTTTATCATAGTGCTACTGCTACTCTTGTTTGCGCACGGTGATGTGCAATATAAAACTAACAACTATGATACAAATAAAATAAATATTTAATTTAATTTAATTTAATTTATGTAATCTATGTCTGATGAGCGGGCGGATTATTAGAATCTATCTATTCTAGGTCAGGACACGACAGCCCTAATCTAAATGCAGTGGTTGGGACGTTGTTTCACTGTCCTTTAGAATTTTTGTATTTACTTGCTATTTAAATTTACAATTATTCTACTCTACTAAATTTTGGTTCACAGATTTTGTACAGACTATCTCACATGAGGTGGGTCCCGAGGACCTAACTCATTAAAAAAACCCCCCAAAAATGTTAAAACACCCACCCACCCTATCTCACATGGCTGTGCCAGATCTTTTACAGATCTGGCACAG